ATTCCATTCCATTCCATTCCATTCCATTCCTTATTCTATTTTGGACATTTGCACATGTGAACTAATACAAAATTGGTAAATAAAGTACTTACAATTCCAGCAGTTTTAGTGGCTGGTGTGATCGGTGCTGGAGTGATAAAACAAATAGCATAACTGCAAGCTGACTTCGTTTTAAACCTGATTCTTATTTTCTTTACAATATTTACAGACTGCCTAAATTGTAGAGACTCTAGGAAGTAAAGAATAATAATAAAAATATGGTTCCGTTAGAAAGTCAAATGGCTGCTGAAAATCTTCATCCAGTCAACAATTCATTAAAAAGAATAATTCTAAGTCTTTTGGAAATATCAGAAGGGTAAGGACCCTGATTTTTTTTTTCAGGCGTATTACATTCCTCAGCCTAACCACTGAGAAGGCCTTGTCTCTAGCTTCTCTTTCTTTTTTATTTAATTTGTTTACATTTAAATGTTATGGGGTTTTTGTTGCTTGGGCTATGTCCTGTAAGCCTGGCCTATTTTGTAGCTTACAAAGTCAGCCTATTGTGAGAATCTGTATTGAACTAAGTTAACACAAAGGATTTTAAGACTCACGATAAGCTAAAGCACCAATCTTAAAAAAAATCTTTTTTTGAAATGCTGTTACTTCTGGAGCATAAAGATGAACTGCTTAGACCATTCTGCCTTAAACAAGTGCCATCCAGATGTATAGGGATTACAAAAATCCAGATGTCCTAGCCAGTGGTGGGATTAAAAGAAAATTACTACCAGTTCTGTGGGCGTGGCTTGGTGGCCATGGCTTGGTGGCTGTGGCCATGGCATGGGAAAGAGACTGTAAAATCTCCATTCCCTGCCCACTCCAGGGGAAGGTTACTGCAAAATCTTCATTCCCTCTCCACCCCACTAACCTGCTTTCCAGCTCCATTCTCCTGTGCAGGGCAACCAAAGAAGACCCAGCCAATCAGCTGGGACTCAATGGGAGGCAGAGAATAGATAGGGGCAGGGACAGTCAGAGAGGGTATTGGTCGGTTCTCCAAACTACTCAAAATTTCCACTATAGGTTCTTTAGAACTTGTCCGAACCTGCTGAATACCACCTCTGGTCCTAGTCCTTTCTGGAGCACCAGTTTGGAGACAACTGCTTAAGTTTAAACTGCCCCTAAATCAAGACACTAGAGGGAGTCTGGTCTACAGAGAAATGCAAAAAAAAAAACCCTCCATAATTCCATTAGCAGCTGAATACCTACAGAACAACCGAGAGACAATGGGATGAAACATTGAAAGCCTTTTTCTTTTTGCCTTCAATTGTAGCATCAGAACTTGACTGATGAAATTTCTAAGCCACCTTTATTGCTTTAGTTTTGTTTTACTGGGGTGTGAATCCACCTTGATTCCAGAAATCACGATTTATTTCAGAAATCATGGCTTAACACTAGGGTATGAATTTAGCACCTCTCAAACTGCCCCAAAATATTTCTGCCTTGGAGACATCAGGGTTTCCCCATGCACAGAATGTTTCAAGAATTATTAATATGGCTATTAATATGAAGACACTGTGAGTTTGACCTCCAGTTGAAGATGTTCTCTTTTGCTAGCATTGCAGCAAATACTTCATCCCGTGAATTTCCCCACTCTGTAATAAATGCAGGCATCAGGCTCAAAATTGGGAAACTCTTGAGTTCTAGTCTCTCTTTAGGCATAAAATCAGCTTGGTGTCCACAGGCCAGTCACTCTTAACCCTAGGAAGAAAGCAATGGCAAACTACTTCCAAAATCTTGCCAAGAAAACTCCAGGCAGTCTCACCAGGAATCAAAACAAAAGTGCACCAAAACAAAACAAAAATCGAAGCCAATCTTTTTTTTTTTTTTGTAATGTTCCATCAGAGCATTAACCAGAAAATTACAATATTGTTCAGGAAAATGGAATAAGTCAAAAACTGAAATCTAGGAATCTTGCCCTTTAATTGAGAATTTCTCTTAGTCCTTTTTGGAAGAATACCGCTGTACCGTATACAGATTCCTAATGTTTCCACATATCTAAATCCAGAAGTTGGAAATCAAACTTCAATCTAGATTTATTGAGAAGTTTAGGAGAGGAACTAGAACAATGTGGCCCACAAACTTCACACAGCTTATCTGTTTACTGCCCCATGAACTCTCTGAACTAGGAAGCATGTTCAAGATTTCCTGAATAGAACAGAATAGAATAGAATAGAATAGAATAGAATAGAATAGAATAGAATAGAATAGAATAGAATAGAATTCTTTATTGGCCGAGTGTGATTGGACACACAAGGAATTTGTCTTGGTGCAAATGGTCTCAGTGTACATAAAAGAAAAGATACATTTTCAAAAAGAATTTTTCTGGGAGCTCAATATTCTTTTTAAAAAATTGAAATGTGCACAAGGCCCCCTCCCAAGATTCCTGCAGCTACCTGTAGTAGCAAAGTTGGAAAAAGCATCTCTTGAAGATTGTAGAAGGCTGCCAAAACAGATCACCAGGGGTTCTCGGTGGAAGGCAGAATTTTATGTTCAAAACTATGATGCAATAACATGGTTACTTTTGGCTCCTCCAGTATACACAAACACATGTTCCTGGGAATGTCATAACATTTTAAAATGCATAACCCAGTAGAAAGCTCTTGGTGAGCTTTCTCTTTATCCTTCTGCGTTTCTGACTTTCTCAGTATTCCAGGCACACCAAAAAGAAAATTGCTTCCATGCATCAAATATCTCACAATACTATTTCAAGTGTGTCTTTTCAGAAGCAGGTCTTGCTAAATTCAGTGATATTGACTCTCTCAGATATCCTGAGGGAAGAAACCTGCCTTTTTCAGTTATGTGAATTATAATTTTCAGCAACCCTGGCCACCATGATAATTGATGGGGGGGGGGCTCTGAGAACTATAGTTCAGCAACAAGTAGAAGCTCACAGATCCTTCATCCCTGTGTGTGGAGTCTGAAACCTTAATTGCATCAGAGTTTGTGATTACTTGCTGTGCTGGGAAGTGAAGAAGGCAACCTCTTCTCCCAAGCACCTGAAGGCAGAACAAGAAACCATGGATGGAAACTAATCAAGGAGAGAACCAACCTAGAATTAAGAGAAA